TGATGGTATTATTTTAGGGGGCGATCTTAATGCGAAACATAAGTCATGGGGTGACACATTGAATAACTGCAATGGTATTGCCTCCCAGCAAAAAATCTGAAATTTTTGGTAATAGCCAGTAGTTATTTCATACATTACTTGGTAATGAGTGTTCATTATCATACACATTATTTTATTTAGCTGAATAGGTTATTACTGGTAAAGAACACAACAATTTGGATTTGTTATGGCTCAATTGTCTAGGTCGTTTATTTAACAAACAGGGGGTTCGTGGTTCGAGCCCTGCTGGATACTGTTTATTTTTTTTCAAAATGACATTCATTTATATATTTTTGTAAAATGCCGTTCTCAAAATTACAAAAAGCAACATGTTAATGGAGCATCGAGTAAGCGGCTGGAGTGAGAAACACAGAAAACAACTGAATGCCTGGGTTCAAATCCCGGCCGAGAATTTTTTTATTTTTTGTTTTCTACATACAAAGTCGGCCCAAAATAACTAGCTATCACATAACATATTTGTAGGTTTATTTGTAACTAGTTATTTCGCAAAGTTTTTGTAATCAAATTAGTAACCATTTATTAATTTGTTTAAGGTAGGTACATATTATTTGAACCTCGTCGAACAAAAATAATTAGTTATTCACCCCAAAAGTAATTAGTTTCCACGAGATTCCAATATTACTTTCTAGATTACTAGGTAATGAAAATTTTTGCTGGGCTTATATGATTGGTTGACCAATTTTTGTTCTGATTTTACAAGGTTTTCTGATTCAGTGCCTTCATTTCCCAATGGGAATTCATTTTTGGATCATTTTTTGATAAGTTCAAATTTGATTAATATCTTTAATATCTTTAATTAGAACACTTCCAACATTTTCTGATCATTTTCCCATAAATTTTCAGTTAAAATTTTTAAATTTATTTTAAAACAACCTTGTGTATTTACCTCCTTTAGGATATCGATAATTTTGTTGAAGAATTCTCTTCATCTATTGGACAAGTTACAAATAATCATTCTGAGAAAACAGAATTGAAGAATAAACGTATTTATATTTCTGATAAAATAAAAAAACTTGTACAGATTAAAATTTTTTTGGCAAAAAGATTTGAAACGCCTTTTTAAAAGAACGTTAAATAGATCACATCCTGATTATATATTACTATCGAAACAAATTCAATTGATAACAAGTAGGAAAGTATAGTCGGGCATGGCCGACCATATAATACCCTACACCATGAGTATATATTAAAAAATTTTATTTTTCACAAAGAAACTTTTATGTTGAATTTTACGTTAATTCCAAAGTATTTAAGCAATTTATTGATAAACAAGTAAGAGTACTATATTCGGCTGTGCCGAATCTTATATACCCTTCACCATGATGTGTTAAAAACAGTCAGTACGAATTTTATTACAAAAAAAAAATCAAAAAATACCAATTGTATCCCATTTTATACGTTCTAATTTAATCCGGGCTCTTCATGCTTAATTTCATATTTCTAGGTTCTATATTATAGAAATTTCAAAAAGTACCTTTTGTAGAACGAAAAAGTACCAAAAAGGCCCCTTTAATAGGTTCTTACCTAGTCAAGGCCCTACATGCTGAATTTCATGTTTCTAGGTTCAATATTATAGAAAATTCAAAAAGTACCTTTTGTAGAACGAAAAAGTACCAAAAAGTCCCCTTTTATAGGTTCTTACCTAGTCAAGGCCCTACATGCTAAATTTCATGTTTCTAGGTTCAATATTATAGAAAATTCAAAAAGTACCTTTTGTAGAACGAAAAAGTACCAAAAAGGCCCCTTTTATGTGTTCTGGCCTAATCCGGGCTCTACATACTTAATTTCATGTTTCTAGGTTCAATATTATAGAAAATTCAAAAAGTACCTTTTGTAGAACGAAAAAGTACCAAAAAGTCCCCTTTAATATGTTCTTACCTAGTCAAGGCCCTACATGCTAAATTTCATGTTTCTAGGTACAATATTATAGAAAATTCAAAAAGTACTCTTTGGAGAACGAAAAAGTACCAAAAAGTCCACTTTTATGTGTTCTGGCCTAATCCGGGCTCTACATACTTAATTTCATGTTTCTAGGTTCAATATTATAGAAAATTCAAAAAGTACCTTTTGTAGAACGAAAAAGTACCAAAAAGGCCCCTTTTATGTGCTCTGGCCTAATCCGGGCTCTACATATTTAATACCATGTTTCTAGGTTCAATATTATAGAAAATTCAAAAAGTACCTTTTGTAGAACGAAAAAGTACCAAAAAGTGCCCTTTAATGTGTTCTCGCCTAATCCAGGCTCTACATATTTAATTTCATGTTTCTAGTCAATAACAACGTAACGTGATGTTCTTTCTTTGCTTTGTGTTTATAAACAAGAATTACAATAACAAATAACAAAAAAATTTACCGTTTGATACTGTGTTTTGTTTTTGTTTGTTTATTGTTTTGTATAAGCATGCACGAAAAAAGTAAATTTTTGATGAAATTTTCAGAGGTGGTCTCGGATTTTTACTCATATCTTCGTTATTTATGGGCCGATTGGGCTGATTTTAAATAGCGTTCTATTCGACCGTATTTCCGATAGAATTATTGAAAATTCGGATCTCGCAGATATCTGGGGTCTTCTGAAAACTGATTTCAACATACACACAGACAGGCAGACAGACAGACGGACATGGCTAAATCGACTCCGCTATCTATAAGGATCCAAAATATATGTACTTTATAGGGTCGGAAAATTATATTATAGAAATTACAAACGGAATGACAAACTTATATATACCCTTCTCACGAAGGTGAAGGGTATAAAAACAAATTTTCTAAATGAGGCTTTATATAGGAGTATAGGTCAAACATGGGCCAATCCTCATTAAATTTGGGAAAAGGATATAATTTTAAATAATACTTAATTATGTTGAGTTTCATTGCGATACAAATGGTTACAAGTCAATTTTAGACGTTTAAGACATTTTTTGAAGGAGGGTTTGTATGGGGGCTAGGGTCAAATAAGGGTTGATCATACGAAAATCTGCAGTGTCATTTATACTTATATGAAACTTATTTGTGCCAATTTTTAAAGAGATAATAGTATATTTGACGTAATTATGGCATATAAAGCCCAAATCGGGAGGTACGGTTGTATGGGGCTAGGTGAAATAATGGACCGATTTCAACCATTTTCAATAGGCTTCGTCCTTGTGCCAAAAAACATGCTTGGTCCAAATTTCATCAAATTATCTCGAAAATGTGATTCTGAGTCGATCGGTATACTTAAAGGTGGGTGTAGGACCAATATTTTTGTGTGTTGCAAACATCAGCACAAACGTGTAATACCCTCCCCACTATAGTGGTGTAGGGTATAATGATAAACATTGGTTTTGATCCATTTATCATTAAACTAATACAAAACTTTTTCGAAAATAGAAAATTCTGCGTTCAACTACAAAATGAATATTCTGATTTTGGTGATGTTAAATGTGGTGTACCTCAGGGTTCAATTTTAGCTCCTCATCTATATAATATATTTATTAACGATTTCCCACATAAATTTCATAATTCAACTGGTATTTTATATGCTGATGACTCGTTACTCTATACTCACGGTATCTCCCCAAAGGATACCCTAAGTTCGATATCATTATATCTAAATGAAGTTAATAGCTATTACAAATTTTGGGGAATAAAAATAAATGTGTCCAAAAGTCAGGCCATTTGTCATTTGAAATCTCAAAATTACTAGATTTCGTGTATGTGTAAATGGGATATTAATTCAAGATGTCATAAACGATCAGAATGGTTTGAATTGGTTTAATACCTTGGTTTACTACTCACCACTAGGTTATTTGAAGCATGAAGTAGCATGCATTAATAATACATTGCCTAAATTTTATATTTCCAAAATTCCAGGGGCCCATAGAGGTTGATTTTTTTGTTTTTTGTCGATCGTTTTAAAAATCTGGTAACCTATGTACAAACGAAAATGTCATAACTGATAAGTTACTTAAAACCATAGAAAAGGTATACATAGAACTGAAACTGAGTATGACAAAACCTAAGTCTGCTGTCAAAAACCTAAGTCGTGAGAATGTATTAGTTGAAAAATATGTAACCCAACAAACACAAACTCTTTCGTTTAAAAAGTTTTTATATTTTTGTTTGATATTATATTTCGATATTTTATGAAATAATGGTTTGAATTAGTCATTTTTATTCAATATCAGTTGACCAATGTAAGAAAGATCTTCATTAAAAATTATTTTTAATTTTAAATAAACTCTTTGTGGTTGCTGGGTTGAGTCAATATTGACACTTGAAAATAATATTAAAAAAATAAAAACGATTGAAAAATTTGTTTTTTTTCTGAAAATGTTTTCAATAATTTTATGGGAAAACATAACTTTTAGCAGTGTTTATTGCAGCAGCAGGGGCTATTTTGCCAAAGGAATTGTGCTAATGCTAAAATTAACGCTTGATATGAACGATTATTGTTAATTTCAAAGCAGCCCAAATGCAGTCAAAATACACCCTACACCACACTAATGGGAACGGTATTTTGTTTACGTCTTAAAGTTTGTAACACCCGCGTCGATGTAATGATGTAATCCGCCCATAAATAAGCCTATTGAACTTTTTTATAAGCGGTACATGCTATACAAGAATAGGGTATTTATAAAATTTGACTCAACAAATTTTATATATACGAAATTTTGACTATATATTGTTATAATGAGTAGTACATTCATTAATTAAGCAAACATCAATCTCTTGAATATAACTTCTACATAAAAAAATACTAAATAACTTATTGCTACTTACTCGCAATGTGGTAGGGTATGATGTATTCGGATACATTTTGTACTTTCATATTTTTGTTATTTTATGTAAACAAAAATAAAAATACTCATACAATTGTATTAAATTCACACAGAACCTGTACATGTGAGAGAGTAATATTTCTTATTCTCAGTTTCAGTTCTATTTATTTTTCTATGCTTAAAACATAATAGTAATAATCATAAAATATATTATAATATATTATATTTTATATTATATACATACATATATATTAATTATATACAATTATCTATTATATACAATTAATTGATCTAAAAAAAAATCGGAGTTTATGATCAAAATTTTTATATTATTCGTGTCTTTGGTGTCGTGTCAAGGCTTATGGCATGGTATAGTTTTGCATAACTACATATTACATTCATGTAAATATTTTAATTTCTGATATTTTCTTATTTTTTGGCCAGACCATCAAATTAGGTGCTTAATGTGTGACAGCAAAAATGATTATTTATGTGATAATATACCAACGTGGAATTTAAGTGATCGAAGGCTGAAATTTATTTGGTGTTACAAAGGTTGCACAATTTTAAAGGGTCAATGGGGTAACGAAAATGTAACAACCAAGAGAAAGGCAAGAATGTGGCGCGGGTGTCTTAATGGCTATGAATCTCAATGCACCCAACAGTTTGCTGTTTGCTGTAATTGCTACTCAAGTCATTGCAATGCCGGATTCAATTGCGCCACTGAGTTTGCACTGCCATTAAAGCCTCATAATATTACTTTTTTTATTATGAATGGTATCGGTTTTATGATATATAAAATTATTAATTTGATTTATTGCGTTATATAAACCACTCTAATGTATTCGTGGGTCCTTTTAATCCCTTTGTATTTTGAGAAAAAAAGTTAGGCAAGTCATTTATTTTTGTGAACTTACAATTAATACAGATCTTGATAAATAAGTAATTAAAATCTCCTGGAGTGTAAAAACAACAATAAAACAGTTTATTAGTCATCAAGGCGCCCGTTTTCGCTAATGTCTATATAGTCTAGTCTATAGTCTAGTCTATAGTCTAGTCTATAGTCTAGTCTATAGTCTAGTCTATAGTCTAGTCTATAGTCTAGTCTATATCAGTCTATAGTCTAGTCTATAGTCTAGTCTATAGTCTAGTCTATAGTCTAGTCTATAGTCTAGTCTATAGTCTAGTCTATAGTCTAGTCTATAGTCTAGTCTATAGTCTAGTCTATAGTCTAGTCTATAGTCTAGTCTATAGTCTAGTCTAGTCTATAGTCTAGTCTATAGTCTAGTCTATAGTCTAGTCTATAGTCTAGTCTATAGTCTAGTCTATAGTCTAGTCTATAGTCTAGTCTATAGTCTAGTCTATAGTCTAGTCTATAGTCTAGTCTATAGTCTAGTCTATAGTCTAGTCTATAGTCTAGTCTATAGTCTAGTCTATAGTCTAGTCTATAGTCTAGTCTATAGTCTAGTCTATAGTCTAGTCTATAGTCTAGTCTATAGTCTAGTCTATAGTCTAGTCTATAGTCTAGTCTATAGTCTAGTCTATAGTCTAGTCTATAGTCTAGTCTATAGTCTAGTCTATAGTCTAGTCTATAGTCTAGTCTATAGTCTAGTCTATAGTCTAGTCTATAGTCTAGTCTATAGTCTAGTCTATAGTCTAGTCTATAGTCTAGTCTATAGTCTAGTCTATAGTCTAGTCTATCTAGTCTATAGTCTAGTCTATAGTCTAGTCTATAGTCCAGTCTATAGTCTAGTCTATAGTCTAGTCTATAGTCTAGTCTATAGTCTAGTCTATAGTCTAGTCTATAGTCTAGTCTATAGTCTAGTCTATAGTCTAGTCTATAGTCTAGTCTATAGTCTAGTCTATAGTCTAGTCTATAGTCTAGTCTATAGTCTAGTCTATAGTCTAGTCTATAGTCTAGTCTATAGTCCAGTCTATAGTCTAGTCTATAGTCTAGTCTATAGTCTAGTCTATAGTCTAGTCTATAGTCTAGTCTATAGTCTAGTCTATAGTCTAGTCTATAGTCTAGTCTATAGTCTAGTCTATAGTCTAGTCTATAGTCTAGTCTATAGTCTAGTCTATAGTCTAGTCTATAGTCTAGTCTATAGTCTAGTCTATAGTCTAGTCTATAGTCTAGTCTATAGTCTAGTCTATAGTCTAGTCTATAGTCTAGTCTATAGTCTAGTCTATAGTCTAGTCTATAGTCTAGTCTATAGTCTATAGTCTAGTCTATAGTCTAGTCTATAGTCTAGTCTATAGTCTAGTCTATAGTCTAGTCTATAGTCTAGTCTATAGTCTAGTCTATAGTCTAGTCTATAGTCTAGTCTATAGTCTAGTCTATAGTCTAGTCTATAGTCTAGTCTATAGTCTAGTCTATAGTCTAGTCTATAGTCTAGTCTATAGTCTAGTCTATAGTCTAGTCTATAGTCTAGTCTATAGTCTAGTCTATAGTCTAGTCTATAGTCTAGTCTATATAGTCTATAGTCTAGTCTATAGTCTAGTCTATAGTCTAGTCTATAGTCTAGTCTATAGTCTAGTCTATAGTCTAGTCTATAGTCTAGTCTATAGTCTAGTCTATAGTCTAGTCTATAGTCTAGTCTATAGTCTAGTCTATAGTCTAGTCTATAGTCTAGTCTATAGTCTAGTCTATAGTCTATCATAGTCTATAGTCTAGTCTATAGTCTAGTCTATAGTCTAGTCTATAGTCTAGTCTATAGTCTAGTCTATAGTCTAGTCTATAGTCTAGTCTATAGTCTAGTCTATAGTCTAGTCTATAGTCTAGTCTATAGTCTAGTCTATAGTCTAGTCTATAGTCTAGTCTATAGTCTAGTCTATAGTCTAGTCTATAGTCTAGTCTATAGTCTAGTCTATAGTCTAGTCTATAGTCTAGTCTATAGTCTAGTCTATAGTGCTAGTCTATAGTCTAGTCTATAGTCTAGTCCTATTAGTCTAGTCTATAGTCTAGTCTATAGTCTAGTCTATTAAGTCTAGTCTATAGTCTAGTCTATAGTCTAGTCTATAGTCTAGTCTATAGTCTAGTCTATAGTCTAGTCTATAGTCAGTCTATAGTCTAGTCTAAGTCTAGTCTATAGTCTAGTCTATAGTCTAGTCTATAGTCTAGTCTATAGTCTAGTCTATAGTCTAGTCTATAGTCTAGTCCATAGTCTCGTCTATAGTCTAGTCTATAGTCTAGTCTATAGTCTAGTCTATAGTCTAGTCTATAGTCTAGTCTATAGTCTAGTCTATAGTCTAGTCTATAGTCTAGTCTATAGTCTAGTCTTAGTCTAGTATAGTCTAGTCTATAGTCTAGTCTATAGTCTAGGTCTATAGTCTAGTCTATAGTCTAGTCTATAGTCTAGTCTATAGTCTAGTCTATAGTCTAGTCTATAGTCTAGTCTATAGTCTAGTCTATAGTCTAGTCTATAGCCTTAGTCTATAGCTAGTCTATAGTCTAGTCTATAGTCTAGTCTATAGCCTAGTCTATAGTCTAGTCTATAGTCTAGTCTATAGTCTAGGTCTATAGTCTAGTCTATAGTCTAGTCTATAGTCTAGTCTATAGTCTAGTCTATAGTCTAGTCTATAGTCTAGTCTATAGTCTAGTTATAGTCAGTCTATAGTCTAGTCTATAGTCCAGTCTATAGTCTAGTCTATAGTCTAGTCTATAGTCTAGTTCTATAGTCTAGTCTATAGTTTAGTCTATAGTTTAGTCTATAGTCTAGTCTATAGTCTAGTCTAGTCTAGTCTATAGTCTAGTCTATAGTCTAGTCTATAGTCTAGTCTATAGTCTAGTCTATAGTCTAGTCTATAGTCTAGTCTATAGTCTAGTCTATAGTCTGGTCTATAGTCTAGTCTATAGTCTAGTCTATAGTCAAGTCTATAGTCTAGTCTAGTCTAGTTCAGTATATAGTCTAGTCTAGTCCAGTCCAGTCTAGTCTAGTCTAGTCTAGTCTAGTCTAGTCTAGTCTAGTCTAGTCTAGTCTAGTCTAGTCTAGTCTAGTCTAGTCTAGTCTAGTCTAGTCTTGTCTTGTCTAGTCTAGTCTAGTCTAGTCTAGTCCAGTCTATAGTATAGTCTAGTCCAGTCTAGTCCAGTCTAGTCTAGTCTAGTCTAGTCTAGTCTAGTCTAGTCTAGTCTAGTCTAGTCTTGTCTAGTCCAGTCCAGTCCAGTCCAGTCTAGTGTAGTGTAGTCTAGTCTAGTCTAGTGTAGTCTAGTCTAGTCCAGTCTATAGTCTAGTTTTAGTCTAGTCTAGATTTTTCAATAAAACTAAACTAAATAGTCTAGTCTAGCCTAGTCTAGTCCAGTCTAGTCTAGTCTAGTCTAGTCTAGTCTAGTCTAGTCTAGTCTAGTCTAGTCTAGTCTAATCTAGACTAGTCTAGTCTATAGTCTAGTCTATAGTCTAGTCTATAGTCTAGTCTATAGTCTAGTCTATAGTTCTTGACAATGTCCTTGACAGCAGAGTTTCCTCTCTATGTATAAAAATGTACCAGTTTAATCCGTTTTTTTTTTGTGTAGAATCTGACAACTCTATGAAGAAATTATTAGATAAAAACGAAAAAGTCATAATTAAAAAGTTATTAAAAAAATACTTCAAAATGACCCGATTTTGGCTGAAAATCTTTGCATTTCTCGCGGCTTTGGCATTGTGCTACGGTTTTTGGCCAGGTATTTTTTGCATAACTAAGAATTATTGATATAAAAATATACTTTTTAGGTCACGTAATATTCAGGTGCATAAGATGTGATTCCAAAACTGATTATTTATGTGATAATATACCTTCGTGGAATCTTAGTGATCCAAGATTGAAATTTGTTAGGTGTCTATATGGTTGTACAATTTTAAAGGGGCAATGGGCTAACGAAAACATAACAACCAAAAGAAGGGCAAGATTTTGGCGTGGTTGTATTAATAGCAATACTGAAAGTCAATGCTCCCAACAGTTTGGTCTTTGCTGTAATTGCTATTCCAATAATTGCAATACCGGATTCAATTGCGCAACTGAGTTTGGATTGCGATTAGAGCCCAATAATATTATATTTTATGTTATGAATTTTATTGTTTTTAAAATGATTTCATGGTTTTATTGAAAAAAATGATCCATCGAGGGTTTTTTTTTGCAATTCTGTTAAATATTTTAAAATTTAATATTGTTATGTTCCTTTAATTGTAATAGAAGATTTAAAAACAAACAATGCCAGATTATAGATTATGCAATGGTCTAGACTACTGACTATACTATAGTGAAGACTATAGACTAGATTATACTCCAGACATAACACTAAACTATATTTTTACACTAAAGACTAGATTATAGTCCGGAATATAACCGGTACTATAATCCCTACTATAGACTAGAATGAAGTGTAGAATATGTGCTAGACTATATTATAGTACAGATTAGTCAGTCTATATTCTAGACTAGTGATTATGGTATAGTCCAAATTTTTATGTCCCGAACATAAAGTATTTTATAGCCCAAACTATAGATCACCTATAGACCTATAGTCCGGACTTTAGATAACAGTATAGTTAAGTGTAGTCCACACTATAAATTATAGTCCAGACTATTGACTAAATTATAAAGATCATTAAGGTTTTTTCTGTTTTTAACAACAATTACTTTATTATTTTCAATTCTTTTAATTTATTATACTTATGCACATAATTAATTTTTAAATATTTTAATAATAACATTTATCAAATTTTTTTTAATAATTATTATAAATAAATAATTTTATATTTTCAGTTTTTCTAGGTTTTTATATAAACAATTATAATACAATTTATTATTTTAAATAAACATTAACCAACATTAAACATTTAAACATGATTCCATAATGTTGGTGTGATTTTTTCTTCAGGGATTTAGGGGATATTTCTTCATTTAAAATTTATTTAATTTTTTAATAATTCTTTTCTTAAAAATATTATTGACAATAGTATTGATTCAAAATGTTAACTAACATGTTATTTAATGATTATTTTTAATCATTTTTGTTATAATTATAAATATATAAATTTGTTTTTTATTTATAAATAAAAATTCTATATTATTTACAATAGTTTTCATAAAATTTCTTTAAGTGTACGCAAAAAAAAAATTAAAAAGGGAAACTTTTAGAAACAAAATCAAATATTTCATTAACTTGATTTTGGAAAAGTTTTAAGTTTTAGGAAAAAGTTGGGAAAAATTCCTTAGTTTTAAAACATTTCTATAAATATGAAAAGCAGCTGGACTCAAAAACTTTATGTTCAAATTTGATTTAAAGTTTTAAGATTTTTCGCTTCAAAACTTGAAAAAGCTACACTTAGGTCCTGTACTTTTTTAATTGTATTTACTTTTGTATAAAATGTGTAAAAATTGTAATTAAAAAAAATAATAATAACACCGATATGTGATTTGAAGTATACAGATAACAGTTGGAATCTGTAGTGTATTTGGAAAAGTTTTATGTATTTATCTTTGGCACTTTTTAAGGTAAAAAAGTTGGCACTTTTTAATAAAAGGTTTTAAGCTTTAAGCAAAGCTTTGAAAGCGAGAATTTTGTTAAAGCTTTAGAGATGCATATAAATAAAAATCTTTTATAGTGGAGACTATAAACGATAGTTCAAACTATTGACCAGACTACAGAATATAGTCCAAATCTTGATTATAGTCCAGACTATATACAATATACTATTTTAGTCCGAACTATGGATAGACTGTTATTGAGACAGTCCAGACTATAGACTATACTATATTCCACTCTATAGACTATGCTATAGTCCCGACTATAGACTATATACTAAGCTACGGTACAGACTAAAGACTAGGATATAATTCACACTATAGAGACTATAGTCTAGGCTATAGTGCAGACTAAAGACTAGGATATATTCCAGACTATAGACTAAGATATAATCCAGATAATAGAGTAAGTTATAGTTCAGAATTTAGACTAGAATATAATCGAAATATTCAGACTATAGACTGAACTGCAGTCTAGACTATAGACTAAACTATAGTCCAGACTATATAGACTAGGCCAGACTATAGACCAGGCTATAGTCCAGACTATAGACTAGGCCATAATCCAGACTATAGAGTAGGATATAGTACAGACTATAGACTAGGCTATAGTCCAGACTATAGACTAGGCTATAGTCCAGACTATAGACTAGGCTACAGTCCAGACTATAGACTAGGCTATAGTCCAGACTATAGACTAGGCTACAGTCCAGACTATAGACTAGGCTATAGTCCAGACGATATACTTTGTTATAGTTCAGACTATAGACTAGTTTATAGACCAGGCTATAGTCCAGACTATAGTATAGGCTAAAGTCCAGACTATAGACTAGGCTATGGTCCAGACTATAGACTAGGCAGATTATAGTTTAATCTATATAGTCCAGACTATAGTTTAGGCTATAGTCCAGACTATAGTTTAGGCTATAGTCCAGCCTATAGCTTAGGCTATAGTCCAGGCTATAGTTTAGGCTATAGTCCAGATTATAGACTAGGCTATAGTCCAGACTATAGACTAGGCTATATTCCAGGTTATAGACCAGACTATAGACCAGGCTATAGTCCAGACTATAGTATAGGCTAAAGTCCAGACTATAGACTATGCTATGGTCCAGACTATAGACTAGGCAGATTATAGTTTAATCTATATAGTCCAGACTATAGTTTAGGCTATAGTCCAGACTATAGACTAGGCTATATTCCAGACTATACAGTAGGCTATACTCCAAACTATAGACTTGGCTATAGTCCAGACTATAGACTAGGCTATTGTCCAGACTATAGATTAGGTTATAGTCCAGACTATAGATTAGGCTATAGTGCAGACTATAGATTAGGCTTTAGTGCAGACTATAGTCCAGACGATAGACTATGTTATAGTCTAGATTATAGACTAGTCTATAGTCCAGACTATAGCCTAGGCTATAGTCCACACTATAGACTAGGCTATGGCCATACTATAGATTGGGCTGTAGTCCAGATTATGTACTGGGATATAGTTCAGGCTATAGACTAGACTATAATTCAGAATATAGGCTAGGCCAGACTATATTTCACACTATAGACTTGGCTATAATCCAGACTATAGATTAGGTTTTAGTTAATCTAGACTATATACTATACAGTGCTATAGCCCAGACTATAGATTACATAAGGTTATAGTCCGGACTATATATTAGACTAGGCTTTAATCCAGACTATAGGCTAGACTATGCTATAGTCCAGATTATAGATTAGATTATAGTCCAGAATATAACCTACATATATGGACTATATTATATTCCAGATTAGAGTCTGGATTATGGTATGTAATCTGAAGCCTTCCTAAAACAATATCTCGTTATCTTAAAGTATCCCTTCTATATCCCAAGCTTTCCTATAAAAATCTCAACCTTACCTCTGGCTAGATGAATCTATCCTTTAGAAATTTCTCGCTAGCTCAAGTTTTCGTATAGAATTATCCCGCGAACTTAAGCTTTCCTATAGAAATCTTTCATTAGCTCAATTATTCCTTTAGAAATCTCTCGGTAGCTCAAGCTTTCCTATACGTAAATCTCTAGCTAGTTCAAGCTTTCTTATAAGAAATCTCACGCTTGCTCAAGCTTTCCTATACAAGTTTCTCTATAACTCAAGCATTCCTACAGAAATCTCTTAATAGCTTAAGAAGTAAGAATAATGAAGTATTATTGTGAAAGCTTTAAGGAATTTATTTTGCAATTATTACTAAACGGCCAAAGTCATTTTAACACTTTTCTTTACTATTTCCTTCATTATTATTGCAATAAATCTTAAAAAACTTAATAAATATTTAATTATTTTATTATTAACTTTATGTTATTTAAATATATTTATTATGTTTTGTTTTTTTGGAAAATGTTAACATTTGTGTTCTTTTAATACTGATAAATATATTTTTAGTTTCTTAAACAATATAATTTTTTGAGATTTTATTTTACATTAAAGACATGCAAATTGTTTTCTATTCCTCTTAAAAATACAAAGAAATGTTGCAACAATTTTTTTTATTTATCTTCCTAAATATATTTACATAGATTCTGTAAATTTATGTTAAGCTCCTAGTTAATGTTTGTAATCTTGTTAAGTTTTATGTATAAAGTTTAATAACAAGATCAAGGAGATTTTCTAAAAGAAAACAACAATTTAAACGAAAATGTTTTATAAAAGTATAAGTAGTGGTTGAAAAATAATATTTTTAATTATAAAATACAAAATAGAGCTTTTAAGCTTTCATATTAAAAAGCTTTTACAGTATTGGTTTGTTTAATATATAAACTTTTGGAACGTTAGACTAATTTTGTCTATTTTAATGACTTTAAATGAAGCTTTTCAGTTTGCTTTAGGAAAGCTTTTAAATTTATTGTGTGTTTAGTCTATAACAATATAATATTCAGGTCTAAGAGCTCTAAACTTTTATACATTATTAAAAGCTTTTTAACATTTTTGAAATATTTATTTATTAACATAAAGCTTAACTTTTAAGCTTACCCAAAGCAAAGGTCTAAAAAAGTCAATAAAAAGCTTTAAGTGTTAAGTTTACCAGGTTGCTCTTTAGTTTCGCTTTAGTAAAAGCTTTAAGAAAATAAAAGATAATGAAAGCTTAAAAAAAAATTATAAATTATAACAAGGTCCAGAGCTTAATTTTTATTTTTTAATATCTACTTATCCATAAGCTTGTGTTTATGTAAAACTTTTAACAAATTGATAAAAAAACTAAAATTTATTTTTAACTAAAAAATAAATTTTTCTTGATCTTCATTAGTTTAATTATATTTTAACAATCTTCTTAACAAACTTTATCTTTTATATATTAGTCAAACTTTTGTTTAAGCTTTGAAGCTTTTTCATGTTAAAAAAGCTTTTTTTTTTCTAAATTTAATAATCAAAAGCTCTTAAGCTAATAATTTCTTAATTAAACAAATACTGCTAACTACAATTACTTAACTACATAAATATTTTCCCCAAAAGGTTAATAGAGTCTCGATTTTTCTTTACATTCCTTAAAAGCAATATTTTCCTTAATATGCCACCTTAACTGCTGTTACTACATCTCGCCCTTCTTTCCTTTATTTACATGGTATGAGTACGTGCCATAGTACTGTGCCTTCTTGACTATGTGAATAGATTACGTCATAAGTTATTCAGCTGAGCTTTGCGTTGTGATTCCAAACGTATTTCTAACATTGCATACGGCAACACACTCACCACCAGTATTATGACTAATGTTATGATTTTCGGTGTTTCACACATAAAACCGTGTGCAGCAAATGTTATGCCCAAACCTAGGAAACGTAACGCTTGTAATGGTGATGCTACTTCTGCTACATGATTTGCATGATTTAGTGTTACTAGGGCGAGTAATAGTGTCTCCCACATACCATTACAGGCAACCCCATGAGGCGGCCAGGACATAGAATAGTGCACTGTCATCACTAGACGGTTTCCAGGTGGAGAGGGCCAGCAGTAGACAGGAGTGGAAGAATAAAACCGGGCCACTGAAAATGTGAGAATTAAAATTATTTGGTTTAAAATGTTAATATTTTTACAAGAATTTAGGAAATTTTAGGAAAAATCAAAGTTAGTTAGTTAGGTAGTTAGTTAGTTAGTTAGTTAGTTAGTTAGTTAGTTAGTTAGTTAGTAGTTAGTTAGTTGTTAGTAGTTAGTTAGTTAGTTAGTTAGTTAGTTATTTAGTTAGTAGTTAGTTAGTTCAGGTCGTTAGTTAGTTAGGTAGTTAGTAGTTAGTTAGTTTAGTTAGTTAGTTAGTTAGTTAGTTAGTTAGTTAGTTAGTTAGTTAGTTAGTTAGGTTAGTTAGTTAGTTAGTTAGTTAGTTGTTAGTTAGTTAGTTAGTTAGTTAGTAGTTAGTTAGTAGTTAGTTAGTTAGTTAGTTAGTTAGTTAGTTAGTTAGTTAGTTAGTTAGTTAGTTAGTTAGTAGTTAGTTAGTTAGTTAGTTAGTTAGTTAGTTAGTTAGTTAGTTAGTTAGTTAGTTAGTTAGTTAGTTAGTTAGTTAGTTAGTTAGTTAGTTAGTTAGTTAGTTAGTTAGTAGTTAGTTAGTTAGTTAGTTAGTTAGTTAGTTAGTTAGTTAGTTAGTTAGTTAGTTAGTTAGTTAGTTAGTTAGTTAGTTAGTTAGTTAGTTAGTTAGTTAGTTAGTTAGTTAGTTAGTAGTTAGTTAGTTAGTAGTTAGTTAGTTAGTAGTTAGTTAGTTAGTTAGTTAGTTAGTTAGTTAGTTAGTTAGTTAGTTAGTTAGTTAGTTAGTTAGTTAGTTAGTTAGTTAGTTAGTTAGTTAGTTAGTTAGTTAGTTAGTTAGTTCGTTGTTAGTTAGTTAGTTAGTTAGTTAGTTAGTTAGTTAGTTAGTTAGTTAGTTAGTTAGTAGTTAGTTAGTTAGTTAGTTAGTTAGTGTAGTTAGTTAGTTAGTTAGTTAGTTAGTTAGTTAGTAGTTAGTTAGTAGTTAGTTAGTTAGTTAGTTAGTTAGTAGTTAGTTAGTTAGTAGTTAGTTAGTTAGTTAGTTAGTTAGTTAGTTAGTTAGTTAGTTAGTTAGTTAGTTAGTTAGTTAGTTAGTTAGTTAGTTAGTTAGTAGTTAGTTAGTTAGTTAGTTAGTTAGTTAGTTAGTAGTTAGTTAGTTAGTTAGTTAGTTAGTTAGTTAGTTAGTTAGTTAGTAGTTAGTTAGTTAGTAGTTAGTTAGTTAGTTAGTTAGTTAGTTAGTTAGTTAGTTAGTTAGTTAGTTAGTTAGTTAGTTAGTTAGTAGTTAGTAGTTAGTTAGTTAGTAGTTAGTTAGTTAGTTAGTTAGTTAGTTAGTTAGTTAGTTAGTTAGTTAGTTAGTTAGTTAGTTAGTTAGTTAGTTAGTAGTAGTTAGTTAGTTAGTAGTTAGTCTAGTTAGTTAGTTAGTTAGTTAGTTAGTTAGTTAGTTAGTTAGTTAGTTAGTTAGTAGTTAGTTAGTAGTAGTAGTTAGTTAGTGTAGTTAGTTAGTAGTTAGTTAGTTAGTTAGTTAGTTAGTAGTTAGTAGTTTAGTTAGTTCGTTAGTTAGTTAGTTAGTTAGTTAGTAGTTAGTTAGTTAGTTAGTTAGTAGTTAGTTAGTAGTTAGTTAGTAGTTAGTAGTGAGTAGTTAGTTAGTTAGTGTTAGTAGTTAGTTAGTTTAGTTAGTTAGGTAGTTAGTTAGTTAGTTAGTTAGTTAGTTAGTTAGTTAGTTAGTTAGTTAGTTAGTTAGTTAGTTAGTTAGTTAGTTAGTTAGTTAGTAGTTAGTTAGTTAGTTAGTTAGTTAGTTAGTTAGTTAGTAGTTAGTTAGTTAGTTTAGTAGTTAGTTAGTTAGTTGTTAGTTAGTTAGTTAGTTATAGTTAGTTAGTTAGTTAGTTAGTAGTAGTTAGTTAGTTAGTTAGTTAGTTAGTTAGTAGTTAGTTAGTTAGTTAGTTAGTTAGTTAGTTAGTTAGTTAGTTAGTTAGTTAGTTAGTTAGTTAGTTAGTTAGTTAGTTAGTTAGTTAGTTAGTTAGTTAGTAGTTAGTAGTTAGTTAGTTAGTAGTTAGTTAGTTAGTTAGTTAGTTAGTTAGTTAGTTAGTTAGTTAGTTAGTAGTTAGTTAGTTAGTAGTTAGTAGTTAGTTAGTTAGTTAGTTAGTTAGTTAGTAGTTAGTTAGTTAGTTAGTTAGTTAGTTAGTTAGTAGTTAGTTAGTTAGTTAGTTAGTTAGTTAGTTAGTTAGTTAGTTAGTTAGTTAGTTAGTTAGTAACTTAGTTCGACTTAAGTTTAGCTTAAGTTCAGTTTCACTTACATATTACCACTATACGTTTAGTATGTCTCAGGAGCATACTTAAAGTTCCTGACACAATCAGTTGCATTATACCCATTCCTATTATTGCTCCCGGTACCATTTTTATGCCCAAAGAACAAGAAACAAAGGCCTATATAGGAGAAAAATCAAACATTAATTTATAAACTTTCAAACCAAAACAAAATTATTACAACTCACCCTTAAAAAGTCACTCAAAATATAAGCCTGTTCGGTACCAATAAAATAAGCCAAGGGACCAGCAAATAGCAGAGTATCGGTAATACCCTTAATGCGTTCATGGCGAAAAGTGGCATGAATTTTACCCACCAATACAGAGAACAGCAAAGCTAGAGTTGCAAACACCAAGTACACCACTATCAAAGTAACACTGCCTTCTCGTGGCTTCTCATTTATAAAAGGAGAATATATGGTTTCATTCCCAGCTGCATAACTCTCCGCCTGTAGATCACTGTGCCACAGGGGGCACATATCAGCACCACAAATACGATTGCCATGTTCATCCAGATTATAGAATTCATTTTTAAAGCCGTTTAAGTGATTCCAAACATATGGTGTACTGGGTATAAACGATTGAAAAGCAGCCGCTAAAGGTAGACTAGAATTGGTAGATTGCAAAAGTTTAGCAGCGCTGGACTCAGTGGTAGTAGTTGTTGTAGTACCCGATAGCTTTGTAGTTGCACCCGGGCAATTCCAATCACTTGAAGTGCACGATAATACTATTGAAGCTATTATGGCACCTATGATAATGCCAAAATCTTTGGAAGCATGGAACCATCTAGCCAAACGTCTCACTTTTTGATCACGATTACAAAAGAGTTTATGTTCCTCCCAAGAATCCAAGGCATGTGAAGAGAGCAAAGTACATTCATGCTGGGAACAACTCAATTTACTGCCATAGTGGACCACCACAGCGATTTTACTTATAAACGAAGGACTATGGCTCAAGCCGAATAGTATATAGGCAGGCAGCAGAGTATATATTGAGGGATATAAATGACACAGCAGAAATAAACACACAGCCACATAGTTGGCACCCATTAGCAGGGAATAACCAAATTTATGTATAAGTTTGGGCGTGACCAGACACATGCACGCCGATATCAGTAAACCCACACTGAGCAGTAGAGAACCAATATTGGGACCTACTTGTAGCCATTGTTCACGATGATGCCATACCGAATTCGAACCTTGCAAACCAAATATTGGCACTAGGACAGCACACTTGAGACCATGAGCCAAGGCAAGAAATGTGAAAGATTTACCAACTTTTTGTCTAACATGAGCTGGTATTTTATGCCGGCAATTACGATTGTTCAGAGTTATAAGACGTCGTATCGAGGTAGCACCTATGGAACTATTTATAGATTCTCGACGACGTGAAGCTGCCAAGGCAGCTTGTACATGATATGATGATACCGGATTGATACGATGCGATCTTGTTGATATGGGAGAGTAGGCTGGTAGGTGCTGTGAAGGAAGATAAATAATATTTATTAATATTAATGAAATATATGTAAGTACATACATTCGTACTTGAAATAAAATAACTCTGGATTTATTTAAAATTTCTTATTAATTTTCCTCTATTGCAGAGCTTTAAAATAGCCTTTTGTTTTCAATTGACGTCATACTTATTTGTAAACAACTTTTGTTTAACTATTCCCGGAACAAAATTATTCCCGTGATTTTTTTAATTGAAATATTTTTTAACATTTATTCATTATTACCAAAACCTCAAAGAACACTTTGGCAGCCACTCTTGAAAATTAGGATGGTATTTTTTACAATTTCGAAGCACTGCAGTTTAGTTCATCTACCAGTGCACAGGCAACTAAACTTAACTCGGTTAATTAACTAGGCTAGTCTACAGCACAGTCTATAATCTTGTCTATAATCTAGTCTATAATCTTGTCTATAATCTAGTCTATAGTCTAGTCTATAGTCTAGTCTATAGTCTAGTCTATAGTCTAGTCTATAGTCTATTCTATAGTCTAGTCTATAGTCTAGTCTATAGTCTAGTCTATAGTCTAGTCTATAGTCTAGTCTATAGTCTAGTCTAGTCTAGTCTATAGTCTAGTCTATAGTCTAGTCTATAGTCTAGTCTATAGTCTAGTCTAGTCTAGTCTATAGTCTATAGTCTAGTCTATAGTCTAGTCTATAGTCTAGTCTATAGTCTAGTCTATAGTCTAGTCTATAGTCTAGTCTATAGTCTAGTCTATAGTCTAGTCTATAGTCTAGTCTATAGTCTAGTCTATAGTCTAGTCTATAGTCTAGTCTATAGTCTAGTCTATAGTCTAGTCTATAGTCTAGTCTATAGTCTAGTCTATAGTCTAGTCTATAGTCTAGTCTATAGTCTAGTCTATAGTCTAGTCTATAGTCTAGTCTATAGTCTAGTCTATAGTCTAGTCTATAGTCTAGTCTATAGTCTAGTCTATAGTCTAGTCTATAGTCTAGTCTATAGTCTAGTCTATAGTCTAGTCTATAGTCTAGTCTATAGTCTAGTCTATAGTCTAGTCTATAGTCTAGTCTATAGTCTAGTCTATAGTCTAGTCTATAGTCTAGTCTATAGTAGTCTATAGTCTAGTCTATAGTCTAGTCTATAGTCTAGTCTATAGTCTAGTCTATAGTCTAGTCTATAGTCTAGTCTATAGTCTAGTCTATAGTCTAGTCTATAGTCTAGTCTATAGTCTAGTCTATAGTCTAGTCTATAGTCTAGTCTATAGTCTAGTCTATAGTCTATTCTATAGTCTAGTCTATAGTCTAGTCTATAGTCTAGTCTATAGTCTAGTCTATAGTCTAGTCTATAGTCTAGTCTAGTCTAGTATATAGTCTAGTCTATAGTCTAGTCTATAGTCTAGTCTATAGTCTAGTCTATAGTCTAGTCTATAGTCTAGTCTATAGTCTAGTCTATAGTCTAGTCTATAGTCTAGTCTATAGTCTAGTCTATAGTCTAGTCTATAGTCTAGTCTATAGTCTAGTCTATAGTCTAGTCTATAGTCTAGTCTATAGTCTAGTCTATAGTCTAGTCTATAGTCTAGTCTATAGTCTAGTCTATAGTCTAGTCTATAGTCTAGTCTATAGTCTAGTCTATAGTCTAGTCTATAGTCTAGTCTATAGTCTAGTCTATAGTCTAGTCTATAGTCTAGTCTATAGTCTAGTCTATAGTCTAGTCTATAGTCTAGTCTATAGTCTAGTCTATAGTCTAGTCTATAGTCTAGTCTATAGTCTAGTCTATAGTCTAGTCTATAGTCTAGTCTATAGTCTAGTCTATAGTCTAGTCTATAGTCTAGTCTATAGTCTAGTCTATAGTCTAGTCTATAGTCTAGTCTATAGTCTAGTCTATAGTCTAGTCTATAGTCTAGTCTATAGTCTAGTCTATAGTCTAGTCTATAGTCTAGTCTATAGTCTAGTCTATAGTCTAGTCTATAGTCTAGTCTATAGTCTAGTCTATAGTCTAGTCTATAGTCTAGTCTATAGTCTAGTCTATAGTCTAGTCTATAGTCTAGTCTATAGTCTAGTCTATAGTCTAGTCTATAGTCTAGTCTATAGTCTAGTCTATAGTCTAGTCTATAGTCTGATCTACAGTCTAGTCTATAGTCTAGTCTATAGTCTAGTCTATAGTCTAGTCTATAGTCTAGTCTATAGTCTAGTCTATAGTCTAGTCTATAGTCTAGTCTATAGTCTAGTCTATAGTCTAGTCTATAGTCTAGTCTATAGTCTAGTCTAGTCTAGTCTAGTTAGTCTAGGTCTATAGTCTAGTCTATAGTCTAGGTCTATAGTCTAGTCTATAGTTAGTCTATAGTCTAGTCATAGTCTAGTCTATAGTCTAGTCTATAGTCTGTCTATAGTCTAGTCTATAGTCTAGTCTATAGTCTAGTCTATCGTCTAGTCTATAGTCTAGTCTATAGTCTAGTCTATAGTCTAGTCTATAGTCTAGTTCTATAGTCTAGTCTAGTCTAGTCTATAGTTCTAGTCTATAGTTCTAGTCTATAGTCTAGTCTATAGTCTAGTCTATAGTCTAGTCTATAGTCTAGTCTATAGTCTAGTCTATAGTCTAGTCTAGTATCTATAGTTAGTCTATAGTCTCGTCTATAGTCTAGTCTATAGTCTTAGTCTATAGTCTAGTCTATAGTCTAGTCTATAGTCTAGTCTATAGTCTAGTCTATAGTCTAGTCTATAGTCTAGTCTATAGTCTAGTCTATAGTCTAGTCTATAGTCTAGTCATATCTAGTCTAGTAGTCTAGGTCTATAGTCTAGTCTATAGTCTAGTCTATAAGTCTCAGTCTATAGTCTAGTGCTATAGTCTCGTCTATAGTCTAGTCTATCGTCTAGTCTTAAGTTAGTCTATAGTCTAGGTCTATAGTCTAGTCTATAGTCTAGTCTATCGTCTAGTCTATAGTCTATCTATAGTCTAGTCTATAGTCTAGTCTATAGTCTAGTCTATAGTCTAGTCTATAGGTCTAGTCTCTAGTCTAGTCTATAGTTCTAGTCTATAAGTCTAGTCTATAGTCTAGTGTCTATAGTCTAGGTCTAATAGTCTAGTCTATATTCTAGTCTAGTTAGTCTTAGTCCTAGTAAGTCTCAGTCTATAGTCTAGTCTAGTCTAGTCTATAGTCTAGTCTCTAGTCTAGTCTATAGTCTAGTCTATAGTCTAGTCTATAGTCTAGTCTATAGTCTATTCTATAGTCTAGTCTATAGTCTAGTCTATAGTCTAGTCTATAGTCTAGTCTATAGTCTAGTCTCTAGTCTAGTCTATAGTCTAGTCTATAGTCTAGTCTATAGTCTAGTCTATAGTCTAGTCTATAGTCTAGTCTATAGTCTAGTCTATAGTCTTAGTCTATAGTCTGTCTATAGTCTAGTCTATAGTCTAGTCTATAGTCTAGTCTATAGTCTAGTCTATAGTCTAGTCTATAGTCTAGTCTATAGTCTAGTCTATAGTCTAGTCTATATTCTAGTCTATAGTCTAGTCTATAGTCTAGTCTATAGTCTAGTCTATAGTCTAGTCTATAGTCTAGTCTATAGTCTAGTCTATAGTCTAGTCTATAGTCTAGTCTATAGTCTAGTCTATAGTCTAGTCTAGTCTAGTCTATAGTCTAGTCTATAGTCTAGTCTATAGTCTAGTCTATAATCTTGTCTATAGTCTAGTCTATAGTCTAGTCTACAGTCTAGTCTATAGTCTAGTCTATAGTCTAGTCTATAGTCTAGTCTATAGTCTAGACTTTATGCTTTATATAAAAAAATATTTTTCATTAAAAACGGTTTAACTATAATTCCAGAAATTTCTCCAAATTTCATTAAAAAAACTCCACCCTAGTACACCCGCCAAAGTTTTTGTTTGTGTTTAATTGATTCCACATAATCCTGCAACATTTGTTTACCCGTGTTTCTTTTTTGATACTTAAACTGTGTAGTTGTTGTAACGATGAAGCCACAATTTAACCACTTTTACGTATTTAAAATTTGAAATGTTTTTACTTGATTATACAGCTATTCATTCATAAAAATCTGCTCGTATACATACGACTTTTGCACTTATTTGTAAACAAATAATCTCTACATCTCCCTGTGTATTTAGCCCACATTTTCTTCTACTCACCTCCAAGGCTTGTTCGTCCCATATATTGTGTGTTGCACCCGAACTTCGTGTACGCAATACACGATGACGATTTGTCAATGAATGACGATAGTGATGGGGTCCATGTTGGTGGGCATGATGTTTTAGAGCAGCTGCTGCTGCTGCACCAACACTACCCGCACCCATACCAGCTCCATAATTTAGGAGGGCTGCCCCACCAATTGGTAGAGTACCGGGTGGGTTAGTAGCAGCACCGGGTGCACCTGGACCACCAACACTAGTTGCTGTTGGATTGTGTGGTGCAATGCCTCCAATACCCAGACCAGCCATTAAAATAAGGATTGTTAAGTTTGAGTGCTTGCAAAAAGAGAGGAAAGAAATTTAAAAGAGGTTAATTAAGTAGAATTGGTAAAAGTTAAGGGAAGGTGTTTAGGTAATAATACGAAGAGGGTAAACGTGAGGAAGTTTTTTTAGGGATGATGTTAATCGTATGATTTTTGATTTGATTTTTGACATGGATAACAATTTAACTAATATGTATATAAAATTAAGGGAAGTACGAGGGTTAATGTAAAAGTTGTTTAAGAAGTTTAAGTTGGAATATCAACATTGTTATCCTTGACTAGACTATAACTAGACTATAGACTAGACTATATACTAGCTATAGAACTAGACGATAGACTAGACCTATAGACTAGACTATAGAACTAAGACTATAGACTAGACTATAGACTAGACTAATAGACTAGACTTATAGACTAGAACTATAGACCTAGACTATAGACTAGACTATAGACTAGACTATAGACTAGAATTATAGACGCCTAGACTATAGACTAGACTATAGACTAGACTATAGACTAGACTATAGACTAGACTATAGACTAGACTATAGACTAGACTATAGACTAGACTATAGACTAGACTATAGACTAGACTATAGACTAGACTATAGACTAGACTATAGACTAGACTATAGACTAGACTATAGACCTAGACTATAGACTAGACTATAGACTATAGACTATAGCTAGCCTATACTAGATTATAGACTAGACTATAGACTAGACTATAGACTAGACTATAGATTAGACTATAGACTAGATTATAGACTAGACTATAGACTAGGACTATAGACTAGACTATAGACTAGACTACTATGACTAGACTATAGACTAGACTATAGACTAGACTATAGACTAGACTATAGACTAGACTATAGACTAGACTATAGACTAGACTATAGACTAGACTATAGACTAGACTATAGACTAGACTATAGACTAGACTATAGACTAGACTATAGACTAGACTATAGACTAGACTATAGACTAGACAATAGACTAGACTATAGACTATACTATAGACTAGACTATAGACTAGACAATAGACTAGACTATCGACTATACTATAGACTAGACTATAGACTAGACTATAGACTAGACTATAGACTAGACAATAGACTAGACAATAGACTAGACTATAGACTAGACTATAGACTAGACTATAGACTAGACTATAGACTAGACTATAGACTAGACAATAGACTAGACTATAGACTAGACTATAGACTAGACTATAGACTAGACTATAGACTAGACTATAGACTAGACTATAGACTAGACTATAGACTAGACTATAGACTAGACTATAGACTAGACTATAGACTAGACTATAGACTAGACTATAGACTAGACTATAGACTAGACTATAGACTAGACTATAGACTAGACTATAGACTAGACTATAGACTAGACTATAGACTAGACTATAGACTAGACTATAGACTAGACTATAGACTAGACTATAGACTAGACTATAGACTAGACTATAGACTAGACTATAGACTAGACTATAGACTAGACTATAGACTAGACTATAGACTAGACTATAGACTAGACTATAGACTAGACTATAGACTAGACTATAGACTAGACTATAGACTAGACTATAGACTAGACTATAGACTAGACTATAGACTAGACTATAGACTAGACTATAGACTAGACTATAGACTAGACTATAGACTAGACTAGACTAGACTATAGACTAGACTATAGACTAGACTATAGACTAGACTATAGACTAGACTATAGACTAGACTATAGACTAGACTATAGACTAGACTATAGACTAGACTATAGACTAGACTATAGACTAGACTATAGACTAGACTATAGACTAGACTATAGACTAGACTATAGACTAGACTATAGACTAGACTATAGACTAGACTATAGACTAGACTATAGACTAGACTATAGACTAGACTATAGACTAGACTATAGACTAGACTATAGACTAGACTATAGACTAGACTATAGACTAGACTATAGACTAGACTATAGACTAGACTATAGACTAGACTATAGACTAGACTATAGACTAGACTATAGACTAGACTATAGACTAGACTATAGACTAGACTATAGACTAGACTATAGACTAGACTATAGACTAGACTATAGACTAGACTATAGACTAGACTATAGACAAGACTATAGACTAGACTATAGACTAGACTATAGACTAGACTATAGACTAGACTATAGACTAGACTATAGACTAGACTATAGACTAGACTATAGACTAGACTATAGACTAGACTATAGACTAGACTATAGACTAGACTATAGACTAGACTATAGACTAGACTATAGACTAGACTATAGACTAGACTATAGACTAGACTATAGACTAGACTATAGACTAGACTATAGACTAGACTATAGACTAGACTATAGACTAGACTATAGACTAGACTATAGACTAGCCTATAGACTAGCCTATAGACTAGACTATATACTAGACTATAGACTAGACTATAGACTAGACTAGACTAAACTATAGACTAGACTATAGACTAGACTATAGACTAGACTATAGACTAGACTATAGACTAGACTATAGACTAGACTATAGACTAGACTATAGACTAGACTATAGACTAGACTATAGACTAGACTATAGACTAGACTACAAATTGTAATAGGTTGTGATACAAATTCCCACCATATAGCTTGGGGTAGCACAAAAACCAGTCACAGGGGCAAGCCCTTGTGGATTTCCTTAATACTAAAGACTTGATCCCATTGAACTTAGGTAATAAAGCTACCTTTGTCAATAGAAACAGAGAAGAAGTATTAGATATAACTATATGTTCAGAAGAGCTTATAAACGTAGGATTGGAGAGTTTCGGACGAGCACACCTTTTCTGACCAGCGGTACATAAGATTCAAAATACTAAGACCACCACCAAAGCCGATAAAGTTTCGGAATAAGTCTAAAACTAATTGGTCAATGTTCGGGACCTTACTAAAGAACCGTTTAGGTCAGGACACTTTTCAATGTCGAAATGAAGAGGATATAGACGTCAAAGTAGAAATGTTCACAATTGCCCTGGTTGAATCGTTCGAGGACAGCTGCCCTCTGCGAGAGCGGAGATCTGCCCAGGAGAAACCATGGGTAACCGGGGAGATCGGGAATCTTGGGATAACCGGGCACGGCGTAAGAAGACCGCAGTATACTGGGATGAGTATCGTAATAAACTTGGTGAATATAAGCAAATCTTACGAAAATCCAAACGAGACTCCTGGAAACTTTTCTGTGAACAGGTAGATAACGTAAATGACGTATCGAAGATAAAAAAGTTCCTATCCAAAACTCATGTTCAGCTGGAATCTATGATCGATGACACGGGCAGGAGGCTGGAGGATATGGTGGAGACAATGAAAATCCTAATGAACTCTCATTTCCCACCCGGTATATCAAATAACATAGATGAACCGATATTGGAGGAAGGGGAGGCTAATACGGAATGTCCTGGGTACCAGAACATTCGGAAGTAGTCGGCAACGAAAGTGCGAATGTAATAGCTTTAGGTAGCTCGACCTTTCGACGCAACAAAAGCTGAATTAAAAATATGGGTGAGAGAATCCCATAAGGCCTTTAGAACCACAAAGATCCTATGGGGTGACCCTGGTGAGAGCAAGACGAGATATCTGTCAGACATTCGTCGAAGTTAGATTCAAGTATCTTGGAAGTGATGTTATTCCGAAAATAACATTCCTGACTAACACTGATTGGAAGATTCTTAGGAATTACGTCCAGGAAACTGAGTTTCTGAACACCGATAGTGGCCTAGGTGTATTTCCATTCCCCTTTCCTTGATGTAGTATACATCCTCCTATCAACCTAACCTAACCATAGACTACACTATAGTCTTGATTATAGACTATACTAAAGACTACACTATAGACAGGACTATAGACTTTACTGTAGAATAGACTATAGACCAAATTATATACTTATAAATGTGGTCATAAGTTAAAAAAAGCTCCGAAAATGTCTTGGGGTTATTTTTCGATATCAAAAAGTACTAAAGTACTGAATATTTCATGCATGACTTAAATCTAAAAATGTAAACAAAAATAATTTTACTCTTTCTGTTCACTACAAACTTACCTTTCTCTGATTTAAACGTTCTCTTTCACGACTCGCCTCTCTCGCCAATTGCTCACGCATTTCACGTTCTCGGCGTTTTTCGCGTTTGCGCTCTATCTGTTCGAGTTCGTGTAGATTTGGTAAACTTCCCATGGTGGTAAATAATGTTGTCTATTTGCTTTTACTTTTAAACAAACTTTTTTGTTACAAGTTTATTGTATTTTTATTTTGTTGTAATTGTTATTTATTTGTAAACTTTAAAGTTTAAAGAAAAATATTTTATAAAGCCACATTTGGGGACGGATGGTCAGAAAAAATACATATATACAACTTGTAGTCTAGTATTATAAACATTTAATACAACTTTGTTAAGAACCTGCACGTACATGCTTTGACTTGTAGTAAGTAGTATTAGTAGTAGTGTTAGAGCAGCAGAGGTGATGTTTAAGCACTGTTAACGTTATTGTTTTTGACAGTTGACCATAATGATAATGTGGTTATTGTTGTTGTTTTTGTTGCTGTTGTTTAAAACTAAAAAGGAACAAAGAAAACGAAACAAGTGTTAATTAAAAGCAATAATAGCAAAAATAAAAAAAATTAAAAATCAAATTTAGAAAAAAAGTTCACATTTCTGTTAATGAAGGGAGAGTTTTATTTTGTTGTTGAACAAGTTCTTTTATCTATAATAGAATTTTAATGAGTATGACTAGCTATTGTGTTATTAAAAGTTTAAAGTTCATTAAATGCCAAGGAAAGGATGGTGGTGGCAGTAATCCTTTACTTTTAGGTTACTTTTTTGTACTTTTTATAAACTAAACATATTGTTTGTTAGGTTTTTGTTTTAACTTTGTAACAGCTTGATACTTTTTTTAATAAAGTTTGCAATATTTTTTCGTTTTATTTAAAATGTTTATTAATCATACGTTGGTTTAACGGTGCGTGTTTATTATTTTTTAATTAAGATGTTTCTCATACGCCTGGTTTAAGTTTTTTTTATATCTTTTTCGTATGGTTTTCTTTGATTAGTGTTTATGTTTTTGTTTTCATATCTCACTTATAACTTAGTAATTTTCTTAATGTAAGACAAAAAACACACACATTTACACTCATTAGTATGCTAATTAACGATGCTAATTAACGATGTGTTATAACACATTATTATGTGATATAATGTATTATAATGCGGTATTATTCATTATAATCTCACAGATATTCCTTGTTATCTATTATAATACTGTTATAACACTTTTGCAACACAATATAATGTATTATAACACTTTATAATGATATTATAATTTGTTGTAACACATTATAATGATTTTATAACGTAGTATAATACATTATAATGATATTATAATGAGGTATAACACATTATAATGGATAATAATGCATATTTATGGGATTATAATGAATAATAGCACATTATACTCTCAAAAGTATGTAGTATTATCCATTATAATGTATTATAATGTGTTGTAATGGTTTATAACATCATTATAATGTTATAACACTTTATAATGAGTTGCAATACATTATATCACCTTTATAATGTATTATAATCCATTAAAATATCATTATAATGCATTTTGTTTGTTATAATATAAATATTTAATATTATAACCCTTTATAATTACATTTTAATGCATTATAATTGTATTATAATGCAGTATAATGCAGTAGTATAATACATTATAATGATATTATAATGAGGTATAACACATTATTATGGATAATAATGCATATTTATGAGATTATAATGAATAATAGCACATTATAATCTCAAAAGTATGCAGTATTATCCATTATAATATATTATAATGTGTTGTAATGGTTTATAACATCATTATAATGTTATAACATTTTATAATAAGTTGCAATACATTATAACACCTTTATAATGTATTATAATCCATTAAAATATCATTATAATGCATTTAGTTTGTTATAATATAAATATTTAATATTATAACATTTTAATGCATTATAATTGTATTATAATGCAGTATAATTCTTTAAAGCAAAATTATAAAGCATTATAACCTATTATAATTTATTATAACAGAAATATAATGCATTATAACATGCTTTTGTTTAGTTATAATACCACTATAATGAATTTAACTACTTTATAATGCACTGTAGCTCATTTTTATGCACTACCTGACAATATAGATGAATTAAAATGTGTTATAATACAATAATATAATATTATAACGTATTATGACCAATTATGGTTGCTTTATAATGTGAAAAACATATTATAATTGAAACTTAATATAAAAAATGTATCATTACGCTAAATTATTATCAAATCTATTAATAAAACATTACTTGGCATTATAACAACATTTTGTAGCATACAAATTCTTTATAACTTAATTATAATGGATTATAAACCATTATTATATAAATATAATATGTTAATACTTATTATAATGAATTGCAATGTATCACGCTACATTATAACAGAATTATAATATGTTATAATCTATGAACAAATCATTTTTAAGCATTATAAGATATTAGAATTGCATTATAGTGCTTTATTATTGATTATAACTTAGTTATAATGGATTATAAACCATTATAATATATTTATAATATGTTATAACTTATTTTAATACTTTGCAATACACCACGCTATATTATAGTTCAAATATAATAAGTTATAATCCATTAACAAAACATTATTAAGTATAATAATTAATTACAATTACATGGAAGTGCTTAATAAGTAATTATAACTTTATTATAATGGATTATAAACCAATATAATAAAATAATAATAAGTTATAATCCATTAACAAAACATGATTAAGTATTATAACCAATTTATATTCATTATAAATTGATTATAATGGTTTATAAACCATTATAATATAATTATAATATGTTATAAGTTATTGTAGTGCTTTGCAATACCACACACTACATTATAATTCAATTGTAATATGTTATAATCCATAAATTAAACTTTAGTAAGCATTATAATCAATTATAATTCAATTGTAGTGCTTTACTATTCATTATAACTTAATTATAATGTACTATAAAGCATTATAATATGTTATAACTTATTATAACAAATTTTAATGCACCACGCTACACTATAACTCTATTATAATATGATATAATCCATTAATTATGCATTATAAGTAATTATAATTGCATTATAATGCTTTTATATTCATTATAATTTGAATATAATGGATTATAAACTGTTATAATGTAATTATAATATGTTTTAAGTTATTGTAATGTTTTGCAATACATTACACTACATTATAATTTAATTATAATTAGATATAATTAATAAATAAAACATTACTAAGCATTATAATCAATTATAATTGAATTATAGTGCTTTACTATTCATTATAACATAATTATAATGGATTATAGGCTATTATAATATAATTATAATATTTTATAACTTATTACAATCAAATTGGAATGCGTTCAGTGACATTATAACGGTATTACAATATATAATAGACCATTAATTAAACATTATAATATAAATAATCCATTGAAACAAAATTACAATCATTATAATAACAATATACAAAATTATAACAGATATTTTTCAATTTACAAACAGTAAGAAAAATACATAATACTGGTTTTAAGCTACAAAAACTCAAATGAATGTGAATTCATCTATAATTTGTTTTCTTGTGTGTGGGCCAGTAGGTAAAAATATAATAAATTTCACATATTTTGTACATATGTATGTATATATGAATATGTATATGATTTTTTTCCTACTCATTTTTGTTGGTTTTTATAGCTTTATAACAAGAGATTTTTATACGATTTTCTTCGTTTTGTTGTTTGTTTTTATTGTGTTTTTGTTATATTTTAGAATCATTTTTTAATCCTGTGGCAGCTTCTGTTTCTTATAGTTGTTGTTGATGTCGTTGTTGCTTTCATTTCATATTACATTAAGCTGTCATTTCACACAATTGTGTACGAATATGAAAAAAAAAGAATGAAACTTCTCTATTCCCGTACAGTAGATTTACTGTGAATGCTGTTTTATTATAAAATTCATTCATTCATACTATCGTTCATTTGTTATTGGTTCGTTCAATTTGTTGCTAAAATAAAGTATCGAACGAACATCATTATCGTCATTTAATGGTCATTTAATTTACTATTTTTGACATATGCCTTTAAAATCCATTAGCTGCTGTCACAAGTTATTAATTTCACTCTCTATAAGGCGTTTGTGACATTTTCACAAAAAAAAAAAAACACACACCCACCACAATTTTTTAAAATTATTTCCAATAATCCTGAAATTGAAAAGAAAGAAATGAAAGAACAATTAATGCGAAAGTTTTAGGATTTAGGATGTTGAAGATAAAGAGTAAATTGCAAAAAATTGTGAATTAAAGTAAAAAAATGAAAGACTTAACAAAAAGAGAAATTTAACAAAAAATACCTAAAATTTAAAAAAAGTACTTCTATAAAAAGTTATAAAGTTATAAAATTATAAAATTATAAAGTTATAAAGTTATAAGTTATAAAGTTATAAAGTTATAAAGTTATAAAGTTATAAAGTTATAAAGTTATAAAGTTATAAAGTTATAAAGTTATAAAGTTATAAAGTTATAAAGTTATAAGTTATAAACTTATCACTTATACATTCTACAGTTCTC